GATGTTGCAGGCTTTCTTTTCTTTCTCGTTTGTTCTGTGCAAAAATATATTTCATGGTACAAATTTTCCAATCTGAGCTCTCCCAACAACAATTTCTTTCTTTATAAATTAGTATTTCAGTTTTCAACGGTTCTGCCTAACAGCCCGTTTAAAATACATTTTTATCTTACTCTTTCAATTTATGGGAATAATATTCCTACTTAAATTTCTGGCGGCAGTAGAGTCTCACTAAGGTGTACAAAGACCAGTAGTTTTCTGGCATGGTACAGTTTCCCGTAACCTCATTATCACTCCATTTGGTCTCCCCTTTTCTGATAAGGTATCTCTATCCCTCTCTGTTCTTATGGACTTTTTACTTCAATTCACCTTTTTCTTCTTTAATATACATTTATTTTTGGTTTCACATTCAGAGGAAGGTTTATTTCCCTGAGATAAACTATGCTGTGTTTTGAATCTTTCTTTGACTCTAATGAAAACCTTGGGCTGAAATGCATCCTATTCTCTCACATTTCTTTCTCCTTGCTGATTCTTCTCCTATGCTCTCAAAATATCATAATCCCTGCCTGCCTATCATAAGACATTTTCTCTCACTTTTATTTCACTGCCAAACTTATGTACAAAAACTCCACACCTTTCATATTTCCACCACTCATGTTCTTTTTAAACTGTTGCATCCACAGCTCTGTCTCAATTTTCTTTCTTGATAACCAACAATGACCTGGTAAATTTAGGTATTATTCTTGGCTTGTATTTCTTGAAGGGTTGAACAATGGAGATCAGTACAAATATCCTTGAAACTGTGGGTCTTACTTCATTAATCCAGTCTAAACATTTAAAAAATGCTTTAACATGTAATAATTCATGCTGTCCTCAGAGCACTTTATTCAGTGGTACCTTGATTACTATTATTCTACAGATTAGGACAATTGAGTCATCTGCCTAAAGTCCAATGGCCTTGGCTGCCTAATTTAATGGACTCCGCGGTGACATCCCATTACTGCTACCTTACTATGATCTCATTGTTCCTCATGACCGTCATTGGCTCTCATTTTCTCTCTCCACTCATTAAAAAAAATAAAGCAGTCTTGTCTTATTAATAAGACTTTCTAGCAGTCAATCAATACTGCTCTTGCAACATAACTTCTTCATTTTGAATCCAAACTTTCGGTTTATTTGACTACTTGTATTTAAGGAGTCATTTCCATATTCCTGTCCTATTGTATTTTACACCCATCTTTTAAGATACTCCCTTTACAGATCTCCACTTTCTTTGAAAACTTGTGTGGGACAATCTCTCAGACACTTTACTGGAAGTTTAAATGAGAAGTAATGGCCTACTTGAAATTTCATGTCTGCCTCTCTGCTATAGGGAAAATGTCACTAATTAAAGCCTAACCAGGTGTATTGGAAAAGAGGTAATTTTTCCAAAAGAAAACCCACTGCTGTTAGAAAAGGAGAAATGATATTGGGAAATAGCAAAAGAAGTTGTGATAGGTGTTGAATAAATGTTGAAAGAAGTTAGTCGATAAGCTTATGGCATTAATCATTACATTTAGACTTAATTTTGCAAGACTACCATGGCCGATTTGCATTTGTTATCTCTGATTAAAGCTGAGCAAACATATATGGTAAGTAGGGGCTAAAAAATTCAGGGGCAAAAAGCTATGCAAGTCAAGGGCATTGAAAAGATAAATTTAGAACCACCAGCCGGCAGACCCTCATTTGGGTATTTAAATTCTAGACTGTTTGCTGAGAGGTATCCAGAACATTAGGTGATATGTTATCTAAACTATACTTCTGCCTGAATCTAACAATTAGGAAGAATGAAATTAGTCCTGTTCTTCTATTAATTCTCTTTATTCTCTTAGGTTGACCTCAACTCTAGGGGTGGACAATTGGATTAATAATGTACTGTGCAAGGGTGGCCAGCTTGTGGTACATACAGCTTTCCATCTTTCCATGGACATCCGGGGCTTCTTATTCTATTATTGCTATCATACTTGCCACATTCTATTATGCTTATCTGGGCATGCATCTGCTTTAAGTTCCTGGGATCTTGACTTTATATCTCATATCTCTGCAAGCTTCACGGACCCCTTGGCTGTTGAAGTTTCTGAACAAATTATTCAACAAATGTAGGATGAATGCTTTTTTGGATCTCTATTTTTGTGATAATTGTGATAGCCCATATGCCAAGTAAGAGAGTGTCCTATGTGGAGATGTGTTTTGATTTGTTTGTTTTATCGCATCTTATCTCCCTAAATGAATCAAAATGGTTCATATGTATGATAAAGTAGGATAAAAATATAGTGGTGAATAAATATGAGTAAAGGTAACACTATGGTAGGAAATGAAGATATACTAGGGATGCTGTTGATGTAAAAGTTCATACTCAAAGTTGCATGAGAAAGGATATATATAAAATGATTCCGAGTTTTTCTTTGAGAAAACAGAGAAGATATGGTAGGTAGAAGGTCCTAATAACCTCAGTGAATGAGAATTTTATATGCCACCAACATGAACTAAGATTAACAACATCAACAAGAATGAAAAGCTGGAACTAGAGGAGGAGGGAGAGAGTGGAAGGAAGGGGATTAAAAACGGAGCAAGTTCATTCATGTATGTGCATCCTTTCTCCACGATGAGTGTAAGAGGCATGTGGGGCAAACATGCACCAACAAAACAAAATAGGTCAGACAGAAAAAAGGAAAGAGAACCAAGCCAAGTTTTGGTGGACAAAATACAAATCACACACAAAGGTAAACTCTAGTTTTTATTTCATTCTTAGTTCGTCTTTTAGGCAATATCATACCTGAGAGATGTTTCTATTATGGGTGTGTTAGTCTTCCATTTCCAGGGCAAATATCTGAGATTAACGACTTAAAAGGAAAAAAAGTTGTTTTGATTCACAGTTTCTGTCCATTGCTGTGGGGCTGTGGGGGAGGCAGAACATTGTGGTGGGGAGAATGTGGCTGAGTAGCTCATGGCAAGTGCAAGACGGGGGTGAGAAACAAGAGCCCAATATCTCACCAAGAGCATGACCCTAATGACTGTTTTTCTCTAACTAAAAGTTTCTGTCAGCTTCCAATAGTGCCATCAAGTGATGACCAAATCTTTAACACCTGCGTGAGCTATTGGGGAACAATGAAGACCCAAACTATAAAAACAGATCTTCCTCACTAAGATGCCAAGTGATGTGGTGGGAAAATTCTCCCGTAAGTTTGTAATAAATAAGATCCTTTTGATGCTTTTCATATTTCTCAAAATTAATAGATATTCCAACATCAACTTTAATATAGAAAGAGTTTATTTTAAACAGCCACAGCAATATGTTATAATTATATTCCTTCAATATTATGCTTGGATGTAAGATAATGTCTGGAATACCTGGAAAAGTTTATACACACTAGAATACCTGAAAGAATATGTACACACTTATTTTAAAGAATCATTCAAAGTATGTTTCATTTTTTTCTCTGTGGATTAAACCTAACTTGCAGGATTAATAAAACACTGTTCTCCCTAAATATAAAATAAGATTATATATTATCAATGAAAATCAATATGAAATTGACATGCTTTGTAAAAATTAGTTATATTTATTGAATTTATTATAAAATTTATATCTGAGTAGATGGTTGTACCTTATCATATAGAGATTGGTCAAAGCTTAAGCTAATTTCTAGGCCTCTTCTAGCACATTGGAGAGGAGCTGCCAATGATCACACATTTTTATCACAGAAACAGCTACAAGAGTTTTATGTTATATTTTTAAAAAGAGAACTGTGAAAAATCTTACATGGTCAAACTAATTGAAAACAAAGTAGCTAATCTTAATCTTGGTGATCCTTTAAAATCAAATAAAATCTACAATCTGGATTTTTATTCCTAAATACCTTGACCTGTCAAATTAGGCTGCTAGAGATATAGCAATAATTTATTGAAAAATATCCACACAAAGTGCTATTGTTGACTTCTCTGTAGCTGGTTTTCAGGCTATTTTTTATAATGGCAATTTTGGTAGAAGCACAAGAACTGAGGTCATTTCTACGTAGTTTAAATAATAAATCTTTGTTATCAGCATGTAGAATGCTATATTCTCTACAAGCGAGGGAAAGAATTTATAAATATCATCAACAAGTAGTTTTAAGTCAGGAACAGACTAATTAAAAGTAGATCAGAGTATATAATCCTTGACTCAGTACAGACATTTGTCTCTCCTATATGCTAGAATATTTCATTAATGACAAGATGTTCAAATTGGAAAAAGAATATTAAAATTGTTCCAGGAAAAAAATTGGAATTCTGACCAAATTCTAAAAATTGGAATTCCTATTCCAAACATACTGGACTTCAGTTTGAAAATGAATACTGATCCTTATGAAATACATGAGATGTGGAGGAAGACTTCCATGGAAGATTGTTTTTAATTTTTAACTCAGAAAAGCCCAGGTGGTTGAGATATGTAAAAATATTTTTTAGAAGTAAAGTGTGAGTCTTTTTAACAAATACTATTCGTAAATGTTAACCCTTTAAGCAAGAGGAATTCTCTTTACTGAAACAAAGACGATGGCCCACATTGCCATGAGATATATTAATTCGTGAGATGTGACACTTGTACTAATTTGTCTGTCTAAAGCTAAGTGGTACAGGTTCCAAAAGAAAAGGCATGCAGCAAGATTCAATCTCATGCTCATGCTGATGCATTCCAATGGTATGCAGCAATAAAGTCATTGCCTATGTGTACTATCTTCTTAATTTTTTATATATTTTTATGACTATGTGTAATACATATAGTACATAAAATATACTTTAATTTTAAATATATAATAATCCTCCTAATGATCTCCGCTTGAAGAAAATCATTCTTAGTGGGAGTTAGGAGAAACTTTCATTGTCGCTTGGCATTACTTGTGTTTTTGTAGGTTTTCTTTTCCAGCAGCACTTAGTGAGTTTCAAGGTTAAGATTTGTTTAAAACTATTAACTAAGTGAACAAGACTTATAAGGATTCTCTGCCATGATTATTGTGAAGATGTGAATTCTGGTCAAATCCTGTATAATATTCATAGCATTTGTAACTTGTTTCTCCCCTGTGGACTCTGATGAATTTGAACAGCTGAGCTGTGACTGAAACCCTTGCCACACTTTATACACCGATAAGGCTTCTCTCCTGCATGGACTCTCTGATGGATGTGAAGATTAGAGCTGTGACTAAAACCTTTTCCACAATCATCACATTTATGGGGTTTTCCTGCAGTATGCACTCTCTGATGAATGAGAAGATATGAATGCTGACTGAATCCTTTTCCACACTCCCCACATTTATAGGGTTTCTCACCAGTGTGCACTCTCTGATCAGTGTGAAGCTTTGAACCCTTGCTGAAGCCCTGCCCACATTCATGGCAAGTGTAGGGTTTCTCCCCTGTGTGGACCTTCTAGTGAATTCGAAGTTCTGAGCTGTGACCAATGTCCTTTCCACAGCTGTGACATTTATAAGGCCTCTCTCTGATGAAGTTGGAGATTGGAGCACTGGGTAAAGCACTTAACACAGTCATCACATTTGTAGGACTCCTCACCTCTGTGTGCTAATTGATGAATTTGAAGATTTGAGCTCTGACTGAAGCCCTTACCATGCTCATCACACATATATGGTTTTTCTCCTGTGTGGACTCTCTGGTGAACATGAAGTACTGAACTACGACTAAAATTCTTACTGCACTGGTCACACTTAAAAGGCTTCTCACTTATGTAAGTCTCTTGTGAATGTGAAGTAATGATATTCTACTGAGGTCCTTGGGTTTCATTTCTATGTGGACTCTTTGATTGTGAAGACAAGAGATTGACTAACTCTCTTACCGCATGTATTATAGATATAAGGTGTTTCCTCTGCACAGACTTTCCGATTAAAGTGAACTCCTGAGCTCTGACTAAAGGTACTGCCAACTTCAACACATCCATGCTGCTTCCTCCCTGTGTGGATTCTCGGATGTTTGAATAAATCTCATCTCTCAGAGAAGCAGGATGTACTGAAAAAATTTTAATAGAGCTTTTCTCCAAGAGGATTTTTCTTGTGAAGAACATACCGTGAGTTCCAAAACTAAACTTTTTTACATTTACTACATCCACAATAGTTCTCTTGCATAGAGCGTTTCAGTAGATTATTTTGCCATATTTCCCCAGTGTACTCTGCAAGTGTTTCTTCCACTGGAATTGAAGAGTTGTGAGCAACAAGCTTCTCATTTGTTTCCATGCAAAAAAAGTACATATACCAAGATGGTATCAGTCCCCTTGAAAACCATAGTAATCACTCATACAAACTTCTCTAAAATAATCTTGATTATTTTTTGTTTTTAAGGACTGCCGAGGTATATACTTTTTGCATTGTAAGTTTCAGGAATTATTGCCTTCAAAAGTCAGTTTATAGTTTCCATAGCCTGGTGCTTGTGTGGAAAAAATGAACAACTCTTGACACTGGGAAGGTTATTTGGCATCTCCCTGTTGAATGGTTTCCTTATAGTTCTGATTCTCACATATCTAAATGCCAGCATTCCTCCAGACTTGCCAGCAAAGAAAAGTTGGATATTCTAAATATTTCAGTATTTCTTCTTGTGGTTTGTAGCAATCATTCAGGTTTCACGACATTCGTGTAGTTTTCTCACATGACCTCCCAGTAGAGATATTTTGGAGAAGAATCCAGGAATTTGCACTCCTCCAAAGTAAAAGTAAATAGTTACATCTTCAAATGTTGCTACCATCTGGTCAAAGACCACGATAGAGGTAGAGTGGAAACTGGGAGAGTTAATTCCAAGTCTCTATCTGAAGCAGAAGAAAGCAGCGTCAGCTATACAGAATGATACCAATATTTTTCATCTAAAAGTATTTGAAGTGTGGTAAATATACATTCTGATTTTTCACTTAAATCATTTTTAGGTCTACAATTCAGTAGTATTAAGTATATTCACACTGTTGTGCAATCATCACCACTCTTTTCATACAACACAACTAAAGCTTTGTGTCCTTTAAACAATAAGTTCTGATTTGTCCTTCCTGTCAGTGGCTGCCAAGCACCAGTCTACTTTCTGTATCTATGAATGTGAGTACTCGTGGTACTTCATGTCAATAGAACCCAGTCTGTGTTTTTGTGACTGGCTTTCATACTTAGCACGATGTCCTGAAAGTTCATCCATGTTGTAGCATGTGTCAGAATTTACTCCCTTTGAAAAGCTGAATAATATTCTATTTATATAAATATACTGATTTTGTTTACCCATTCATCCATCAATGGAAACAGGTTGTGCATAATGGTACTATGAAGACTGTGTGAAAATATGTGAGACCCTGCTCTCATTTTTTTAGGATGTACACTCAGAGCTGAAATTGCTGGATAGTATAGTAATTCTATGTTTACATTTTTGAAGGAGTTGACAGTACTTGTTAATGTGTGCGTGCATGTGTGCGTGTGTGTGAGTGTAAAACCATCCCGATGCTTGTGAAGTAGTATTTCACTGTGGTTTTGATTTGTAATTCAATATTGATTAGTAATGTTCAGAACGTTTTCATGTGCATATCTTCTTTAGAGCAAAATTTAACCAGGTTGCTTACCCACTTTAGAAATTAGAGTTAGATTGGTTTTGTTGTTGTGGTTCTTCAGTTATAGGACATTTTTATATATTTTGGATATTGACACATTTACAGATATATGATTTGCAATTATTTTCTGTTATTCTGTGGGTTGTTAATTGTGTCTTATAATGGAGTTTTAAATTTTGGTGCAATTCAATTTATCCATATTTGTGTGTGTGTGTGTGTGTGTGTGTGTGTGTGTGATTATACCTGAGAAATCCTTTCCAAATTGTGGTCTTCATTTCTAAATGAGTAAATAAAGAACAGATGATTCCACCTTTATGCAAATTCTTGCAGATTATAGCAAAGAGAAACTACTTTCAAGTTGCTTCTGTGTGGTGTAAGTAACCCAGATATAAAAATACAATAAAAATCAATATGGAAAAAGTAAATTATAGAACTGTTGTACTTACTAATATAAATAAAAAGAATATATTTACAAATAAAGTCAAAATAGTATATAAAATGAACAATAAACTATCACTAATTTAATATTATCCCCAAATATTAATTTAATATTAGAAAAATACAGAAATGTATTAAAGACTTAGTAGATTAAAATAAGGCAGATAAATTATTGATAATCTCTAATATTTATTATTATTATTTAAACCTACTTGCAAATTTAAATGAGCAAGATTCCTCAATCTAATGACCAGTTAATGAAATGACATACCATATAACGCTAAGAAAAAAAAACAGTAGTGGCATTTAAAAAGATATATAAATCTTAGCAGTATAACATTAAGTAATACCTTTTTTATTTATTTTTGTTTTTTCTCATTGAGTTTATTAGTACATTTTAGGTATAGAGTACAGTTACATTCATCATTGGGATCCTGTACCTTTACATGACAGGTCTTGGTACTCATTTTTTCCCCATACTTGTGCCCTCCCTTCACCCCCTCCTCCCTTCCTTATTTACAAAATCTTTATTTCCAGTTTTTCATTTTCTCATATTTTTTCTTTTCCCTTATTTCCTTTCCCCTACCCTTCCCAGTTCCCCTACACATTTAGCCCTTTTTTTCCTATTTCACATTGTCAATTATACCATTAGGATCTTATTTATAATTATAGTTTTTCACACCAGAAAAACTATTTGGTATTTACACATGTGTGTCTTATTTATTTCACTTAAGAGTATATTCTCAATATGCATCCATTTTCCTATGAATGACTCTAATTTCTCATTCTTTATGGCTGAGTAGTATTCCATTTTATAGAAAAACCACATCTTCTTTATCTAGTCTCCAACTGATGTGCAAATGGGCTGTTTCCAAATTTTAGCTATTACAAGCTGTGTCGCTATAAACATGAGTGCACATATATCACTGTGATATGATTCTTTTAAATCTTTTGGAAAGATATCCAGCAGAGGGATGGCTGGGTCAAATGGAACCTCTAGTTGCAGCTCTTTGAGGTATCTCCATATTGATTTCCATAATGGTTGCACCAGTCTGCACTCCAGCTAGCAATGAAGAAGGGTTCCTTTCTCCCCACAACTCCACCAAAATTTGTTATTGGTTGATTTCTTGATAGCAACCATTCTTTGTGGGGTGAGGTGGAATCTCAATGTTGTTTTCATCTGCATCTCAGGAATGACCAGTGATGTGGAACATTTTTTCATATATTTACTTGCTGCTTTTACTTCTTGGTCTGAGAAATGTCTGTTCATTTCAGATGCCCATTTTTGAATCGGGTCTTTATATTTGGGGGGGCTGATTGTTTTGAGTTCTTATTTTCTAGATAAGAGTCCTTTGTCTGAGGAACAGCTGGTAAATTTTTTTCCCACATTGTAGGTTGTCTCTTAGTTCTGTTGATGGTTTCTTTTGCAGTGCAGAGCTTTTTAATAAGATGAGATCCCAGTTGTTGATTCTTTCTGCTTGTTCCCTTGCTACTGAGGATTTATAAAGTCTTTTCCTATGGCAATGTCTTCAAGAGTTCTGCGTAACTTATCCTTCAGCAAATTTAGTGTCTCTTTTTTCATATTTAGATTTTTTTTTTTTTTTTTTTTTTTTTTTTTTTTTTTTTTTTTTAGAACTTGGGTCTTTGTGCTTGCAAGGCATGCCACCAAACCGCTGAGCTAAATCCCCGGCCCTCATATTTAGATCTTGAATCCACTTGGATTTTAGTTTAGTGCACGGTAAAAGATAATGGTCTAGTTTTAATTTTTGGTAGGTTGAAATCCAGTTTTTCCATCATTTATTAAAGAGACTATCTTTCCTCCACTGAGGATGGTTGGCCCCTTTGTCAAAGATGAGGCAGCTGAGTCCATCTGGAGTTGTTTCTGTATCTTCTAATCTATTCCACTGATCCTCAGGTCTGTTTCTTTGCCAGTACCAAGCTGTTTTTAAAATAGTGGCTTTGTAGTATAGTTTCAAATTGGGAATTGTTATACCCACTGCCATGTCTGTTGCCTAGGATGGCTTTTGCTATTCTAGGTCTCTTCTGGTTCCAATTGAATTTTGGATTATTTTTTCTAGTTCTCTGAAATAAAGTATTGGAATTTCAATAGGGATTGCATTGAATCTGTATAGCAGTTTTGGTAGTATGGCCATTTTCACAATATTGATTCTTCCTACCCAGGAGCAGGGGATAACTTTCCATTTTCTTATATCCTCCTCTATCTCTTTTTTCAGAGTGCTGCAGTTCTCAGTGTAGAGGTCTTTTGCTTCTTTTGTTAAAGTGATTTCCAGATACTTCATTTTTTGGGGTGCTATTGTGAAAGGAATTGTTTCCCTAATTTCTCTCTCAGTGAATCTGTTATTTGTGTACAAGAGGGTTATTGATTTTTATGTCTTTTTTATAAAGTGAAAGTAACTGAAGTTAAATTAAAAAATTTTTTTAAAAAAATGAAGGTCTCCAGCATAAAATGGCTTGACCTAAAATGTCTTAAAATTTACTGTGGTGAAAAGTGACGCATTGCCATTACAACTCCTACTACAAATTTTGGATTCTGATCTTTTTTCCCAGGGTAGCCATACAGTAATGTGCTCTCTGTGATGCTGGAGGCGGCCGCAATCCACTGCTTTAAGTCAACCAGCCACACAATCATGAAGGTAAATGACTAGGACTAATACTCTACAGTGTAATGTGTTCCTAAGCTATGATGCTTGATAGGCTAGACATAATAACTGCAATTTTGGTTTATAATATTTTCAACTTACCCAAGGCTCTTTGAGGTGTTACCCAATGTAAATTGAAGATAATTTATATGTGAATGCAGTAAAACTATGTTAAAAAGAAAGCTACCAAAGAATTGACAAGAGATTCTGGAGGATGGCACTTTGCAAGGGAAAAACCATGGCCTGAGACAGGGATGCAAGATTTTTGTTTTTGTTACTTTTCGTATTTTTGAGACAATGTACCTGACACTCAATGTTAAAGGAGGAAGGTTTATTTAGCTCAGTTTGTACACGTTTCAGTCCATAATTGGCTGGCTCCAAGGCAAGGTGATGCCTCAGAGAAGAAAGAGTTCATGGGGGAGCAGAAGGTAGCAAGGCAGCAAAAATGGACCACAGCTCTTTCTATCCCTTATATCTGCTCCAGGCTACTTAGGGCAGGTAGCACTCACACCCTTAATCCTAGTGCCCTTAGGCCTAGCATTACACTATGAATCAATCCCAGCATCACACATTCTAGGCCCAGCCACCTCTGAAAAAGCCCCATCCATGGTTTCATGAGGCTTTGGGAGGACATCTAGACTTAAGCCATAACAATGCTATTCAAAAAATCCTGACTTTTGGAGAATGGTGCTTTCGTAGTATCTTATTACAGAATTAAATAGAAGGAATCAACCAAAAAAAAAAGTGAATCAGGTTTGGAGTGATGATCACATATATATCATGAACCATAAGTTATGGATTAGTTCAATTTCATGCAACCGAGGTCAAAGGAAAGAAAAAGACATTTAAGCATAATGTGGAGAAGAAATTAATAGGGCAGTTCTTAGAGACAATGTGCTGGAAATTTTGGTTTTGTAATGTTTTTAATTATTTTTTTAAAGGATGGCAGGACTTAGTGATTTTATAGACAGGGAAAATATAACAATGACAATAAGGCTGGGGACATAGGACAGAAAAAGAATAACCATGCATTGCTCTACTATCCTGTGTTTATCTCTTTGGAGAAG